GCAGAGGTGCGGGATAGTTGTATTTATTTTGTGTTTAAAAAGGTTTTTCTGCCCCTTTTCCTCCCTGGGGGCTGTGCCCGCGCTGCGAGGGCGCGGCGAGCCTGCGTGCCCAGTGAGGGGGGGCGCACCCCTCTGGGCAGCGGGTTTAGCATGCACCGAGCAGCTTAACAGGAATGGGGGCTGTGATGCTTTAGTATGCTAGCCTGGGTGTTGTTGCAGCGAGGAGTCAGTGTGTGAGTGGCTGCGGCCAGGGGCTCTGCTTCGTGGTGCCGAGCAGGTTGCCAGCCTCTGGCTGAGGCTGAATTTCCAGATAGGTACAGGCTGGAAACGGCGTGGCTCCTGTTTCTGAACTGCTGTAGAGCATTCAGGGGATGCCTTGATGTCATGCCCGGCTTCCAGGATGTGTTTTGCTTGCTCTTGTCATATGGTAGTGGTGCTCAGAAAGCCCCATGGTAGTTCTCCTGCTGAGTTTGGGCTGTATGCCATCAGCTGCCCTGTTAAAGAGCCTGACCTACTTAAGATAGGCACATGTACAATAGGCTTGACACTTTTCTTCACTTCTTTTAAGACACGGGGTCCCAGGAAACCTGTTCCCCATGGTTCGTCTGGCATCTCTGTTGGGCCTTTTGGGAAAAGCATCTGAAACAGGCAGGTATCTCTGCCTTGAATACAAAGATGAAGGAGGGCTGGGAGCTTGATGTGTTTACAGTCAAAGCTGATAGGTTGTTTTAATTAATTGAGAGGAATGCAGTGTCTAATTTGAAGGGGTTTGATCACATAATAGATAACAATCAGGAAAAAGCTAGTCTCTTCAAGAGTTGCATACATATTTTGCCAACTACAAGAGGTCACTTCAAACACTGTGGAAAAAAATAATTGGCAGTATTAGGTTTGAAGTTTAATTACGTTTCCATTTTTATGTTTATCAGTTATTTTAAATTGATGATTTTTTTGGGTGGATATTTCGGTGGTGTTTTGTGATGTAGTAAGTTACTTCAAGACATATAAAGCCATCTTACTGTGTCTCCGTATTGCCTTCTTATAAATGTCTGCTGTAATGAAAGGACGTTAAGTGTAAGCAGATGGGAGGGGGGTGTGCAGGTGCCACCTTTGCTTACCACAGGCATTTGGAGGTGGCGTACACCTAAAGACTGTAGAACTGAAAGAACCCCTTTTGTAGTAGGGTTGCATTTGAATCTGGGAGGGAAGGTGTGATGCAGTGGAAGGGTGAGAGGCTACACAGGCTTTGGTGTCACAGATTCAAGGTAAACTTTTGTATTGACCCCTGTGTATATGAAATACTAAACACAGACAAGGAAATTTTCAGAGATTTAGAGCTTCTAACTGAAAGGCTTTCTAGGTCAGGATGGGATGCTCAGGGGATGTTCAAGGAGCCCGGTATGTGAATGCACAATTATAGGTCATTGGTCATGGTTTTTTTTGTTGTATTTTTTTAAACTTGTTTTGAAGTAGCTGCCCCTGATTTAAGTGGCTACGTTAAACAAGTACAGTTTTGTTAAACCTGGCTTGCTTATTTAAAAATTCCAGGGTAGGGAGAAGTGTGGGGGAAGGGAACCCAGAAACACAGAAACAACCATATGCACAGAGTATGACTCCTAATACAACTTCATTAATTCTAAAGCAATTTATCTGGAAAGTATGGCAACCAAAGAAAGTGGGTCAGGATGTTTAATAGTCTCAAATCATACAAGGTTATCTTCAAAGAGCTAACCTACTGCCCATGAAGTTAATAGAAGTTTTTCTATTAACCTTCATGGCCTGTGTTTAAGGCAAGCTGTCATTAATTATTTATTTTTAGTAAACTACAGAAATAATATATTTTTCATATACCATGCATTTCTAGATAGCAAGTGTAGGAGAGAGTGTGTTGAACAGTGCATAAATTGTGGGGTTCCTGTTCAAGACTTAATTTTTTCAGGAATGTTTGATACACTGAACCTTGAATTGCTTCTCTACCATACATTTATTGAATTGGTATTTGAGGCATTAGCTGGGGATAAACTCTTTGTAATTAACTTTCTTTTCATTTTCCTGGGTGTTAGTAGATTGCCAAACATCTTATTTCTTTGCAAGCTTTAGTGCCAGGTAGCTTTTCAAAAAGTGCCAGGAAAAATATAAGATTTTATGTTTATTGATTTAACGTTTAGAATTCTCTCATCCTAAACTGAGTTAACTGTTACTGAAATACTGTTACGTTCTGCATCAGGTATTGAAGTGGAAAAACTCCACAACTCATGAGAGTTGTAAAGTAGATATGTATTTTACTCAGCACTGCGGCACATGGAGGATAGCTCTACCAAAGACATGTGAGCCTTTCTAGTTGTAAAGTAGATATGTATTTTATTCAGCACTGCGGCACATGGGGGATAGCTCTACCAAAGACGTGAGCCTTTCCGCAAAACCTATCCTTCTATTTGTCCCCTGAAGTGTTGCATATGCATTAAGTTTCCCAATACATTCATTCATATTAATTTCCTAGCCCCGCTTTGTATTGTAATTAGCTAAAGAGTCCTTCTGCGCTTGCATAGTGCTCTCTGGTGGTCGTAAGGTGCTCGACGGGATGGAGTAAAACGAGTCTTCATCGCAGTTGATTGAACTTTTCACCTTGTCTCCTTGTGCATGCTCCCTTGTCTCTTGGTTGCAGTCCAAAGGACAAGGCTGGTTCCTGTCCGGTTTAGGGGTCCAAGCAGTCTCCTTTATCTCTGCAGCCTTGCAGGTCTTGTATTCTCTCATCTCGTTCAGGTTTGCAGTTCCTTCCCTTATCATCGCAGCTTTGATCCTCTCATCCTGCCTTTGCAAGCACGGCACACGTTAATCATACATTGTCTGAACAGATATTTTTAATCAGTCATTCTTTGATCTCTCTTTAACTTCTAACCCCTCTGTCTCAGTATCATTACAGAACGTTGCCTTTTAGGACTCAGCCAGTGATAGGTGTCACTGTTGATACCGCCTTACTGGATTGCTCTCTGAACAGCATTTAAAATCTGCATATTTGTGTGTGTAAGTGTGCATGTCTGGATCTTTTGGGGTAGATAACTTCCTCCATCTCACATAGCTAGCTAGTTGTCCCTGAATTTTAAGTCAGATAAAGATGCAGGTAAGAATTTAAAAAAAAAATAAAAATCTGCACACTTGTATTTATTTTCGCTGCTTTCTAACCCTTACAAGAATGTGTAATTTTTATTCAGGTAGTGCACAACTTCACAAATCATGGAGTTTTTTTATTGCGGTTTAATGGGCTGGAATAATTTGATAGTAATTCAACTGTGTAGGAGTCTGCACGTACGTATTTATATATATCTATATGTTATGTGTGTTTCACTTCAGGTTTTAAGAGAGGTGCAGATCCTGGAATGCCCGAGCCAACTATATGGAGGTATGTATGGGTTTCAAATGTACATGCAAGCCCAATGCAGATAGGTACTATTCTGGGTGTTACCTCTGGTTGTTCGCACTGGACAGCAACAGTTGTGAAGGTGCTTTCATCCATTGTTTTAAATTGTTTAGGGTGAAAGCATAGCTGGTTGTGGTTCTTGTTTCTTCAGAAATCCAGATGAGAAGACAGCAAAACACGAGTTCTTGGAAGGGCCTTAGTATTTTTCTCTTAATCTTGCATGGCTTTTAATGTATGGGACTTCTTGTGCCTTTTGGGTGGAAGCTGCCCTTCTAATCTGTTGTAGAACTAATTTATAGAAGTCTCTGCAGCAAGGAACAACTTTTCAGCTTTCTAGCATGAATTTAAAACAAAACCCAGTTTCTTTCTGCCTTTGCAAATATGGTAATAATGCTGCATGAAATAAAGGGCTATATCTTTCAATATCCTTTACTGTCCTGAAGCAAAGTGCATTTGCTCATATTGCCTCTTTCTTGTGGGAGTGTTAGTGCTGCAGTGCCGTGGCATTAGAAATACTTGAATTCCTCTAGTATTTGAGTTTTATTGTATGGCTTTCATGGGTCAAACTAATTAAATTAAAATTTTGAAGAAAGTGTGTCTCTTATTTTTCTTGAAATAACTTTGGTTACTGTGCAGAACCAGGTATTCCTAAGACAAATATTTCATGGACTGTATTGTTTACAACATCGTGTATTAACTCTTCTAGCTTACATAGTTACAATGTATAGAAATCCCATTTTTAGGATTCAGTGATTCAAGGGAGCTACATTTTAACAGTAGAAAATATGGAAAAGTGTCAATATCATATTACAATTGCAGTAAAATCTTACCTTGTCTTAAGAACTAACTTGCTGGGGTTGTTTGCTGACAATGTTTCTATGTTTAGCTTTGCTAATGTTTGAAACTTTTTTTTTCTCAGTACATTGAGTGTGTCTCTGCACAGCGTAAAGTATGCATTTCATACCATAGTGTATGTACAAAAATTCCAGAAGCATGTATAATCCAAAGCTTACAGATGCTCGCTAGTCTGGGTGCATGTACATGTGCTGTAGGTTTAAGTTTTATTTTAAAGGTGTCTTTATTTCAGTATTTTGAGGGTAGCGTTTATTCTGTACATTTGCAGGGTTGTTCCTCTAGACTTGTATTTTACAGATATCCATTTAAAAACAAGTACATTATGCAGCTCTGACTTGTTTCCTCCCCCCTCCCATTTCAGTCTACTTTGGGGATGAAGGATGTGGTGGTCCTGTTCTAGAACCAGCCGATGGACAGAGAAAGTGTCTGAAGATATGTACATTCCAGAGGATGAGGCGGACACTTACACCAGCTGTCTCAATCAGCTTGCTAATGACATAGGTTGTACATACAACAAAATGGAGTTTATATGGACCTAACTTATTTGCATTACAATGTGATTAAATAAATACAATTTGAATGGATATGCACTGTTTTTAAGTCTTTATATGAGTATAATGTAGTAATTCTTTTATTACAGAAGGGACAATCTGTTGTATGGTTTGTTGGGTTTTTTTCCAAAATATAGTGACACTCAGCCCCCGTATTTAGCCCTGTTGTGGTGGTCTATTTGGGTAAATATTCTTCTTTGTCTTCACAATAACCAGAAAACTGAGCTAATGTTTTAAATATTTCAATATTCTTCAAATATTTCTTGCCCAAATGTTGGTAAGCCTGCAGCTGGTCACTGTTGACCTTTTTTGGGGAGGGGGTGTGTTTTCCCCCCCCTCCCCCCCCAGTTGTGTTTGTTCATCTCTGGATACCTTACGGACCGAGAGATATATATGTTTTTTCCTGGCCTAGTCAGACAATAAAAAGACATAATTTGGGATGGGGTGGAAGGACACGACAAAAGTGCTCTGTGTGTGTGTGTGTGCATATGTAGCGCTCTTACTCTAAGAGAAAGTTATTAATGTACACCTGAAGGGAGAAAACAATACACTAAACAAGGTATATGCTTTATTTTCACTCCAAAGTTTTGCTCTTTGGAATATTGTTGGTTTGGGTTCAGTCAGTTTTCTCCCTTTTACCACAGCAATTCAAGTGCTGAAATGGCAACTGCTTGGTTTCTGTTAAGTAGAAGCTGCATTGGGTAGATTACTCTCCCCTCTAGAACTGTACAGGCTAGTTTGTATCTATGCAGTGATTTAAAGAAAATAATGTTTATTGGCTCCAAATTGTCATTGCAACAAAAGTATTTTAGATTTCAGATTGGCTTTTGTTTTTAACCCCATAGATTTTCAGACATTTTCTTCATTAATTAAATGTTTCAGGAATAGGAGATTTCTCAGTTTTTCATCTCCTATGAAAATACATGGTAAAATGTTACTGTGTTTAAGGGCAGATGTGATTGGAGAGAAAATGAGAAATGAGCCAAGAGGAAAAAATTAAATTGAAAGACAAGAATTGGGAAGGAAAAAAAAAAGTGGGAAACTTTTATGAGACCTAATGCAAAACATGCATCATGTTCCTTAAAATTCAATTAATCACAGTAATTAAATCAAATGTAATGAAATAGTGGAATAGCTAACGATTGTAGGGTGCTGACAGGAGAACAGAGCAAGGACAGAAGGTGGAACACTTTTCTTGTGACCCTGTATCCTGCTGCTAGTGCAGCTTTTCTAGTGCCTTTTTTCTAATGGTAAATTGAGATTAATGGGACCGCTTATGTGTCTTAAATTATGAAAGAGTTCAAATTCTGATCCTCTTTTGTAACTGATCCTAATTGCAATAGTAATGAAATAATCAGTTGGTACTTGATAGTGGCTTTAATCATGATGGTGAACATTTATCTATTCTGTTGAATCTAGTGGAATAACCTGAGAGATTCAATACTAAGACATACGGTCTTCAATTTAAAGTAGCTGAGATTTCTCAAAATCAGTTTTTGCATTTCACAAGGGTGTACAATACCCAAAATGCAGCTGTGGGTGGATGGACATAAACACATGCAGAAATGCATTGCATGTGCTCTATTGTGTGTCAGACATTTGGGGATGTGGTTTGTGGGTCTTTAACTGCCACATGGTTGCTCTGGCAGCTTTCCAATAATAATAGTGTTTGGCAAGAGATAGAGAAATAGGGAAGCGTTCTCTTTTCATTAAAAGTTTTACATAAGCATAGATATATCAAGCACAGGCCAGATTCTGTGACCTGACCATGCTGAAAATTTCCTTTAAAAGTAGCTGTAGTTCAGGTTTTTTTCAAAGACTTGAAATTATTCAGTAAATATTGCTAGGAAATTGTTACTTCTAAAATTTCTGTTAAAGCACATTGGATAGCAAATTTTTGGTAATTCATAACTACTGTGGAAAGGAGTTAAATTATTGTTCTCTTAAAAAAATATGGTTCAGGAATGTCATTAGCATAGAACCTTTGTGTTTTCAAATTGAGGAAAATAAGCATCTTTCATAGCACATTCAGGTGAATTTAAATTGAATGCCTATATGTATTATAACATTTTTCATTTGTATGCTCAGATGGTGTTTCATTCAATGTAGCTCTTTCTCTGTAAGTAAAAGGTGAGTGCAACTCCTTAAATAAACATTCCTTTTTGCACCTGAAAAAAAGAACCAGAATAAGCATTAATCATGAGTCTTGGTAATTAATTGTAAGGTAGCAAAAACCAGAATTTGAGACACTTTTTTTTTCAAGTTTAAAAATGAAGGAGTCTTTGGTAGCAATGTCTTGAAGTTACTTTGCAGTTATTGTAATTTTCACATAATTCTGATGTGCTTATAAGAGCAGATTGGTGTTCTATGAAGTTATACTTTAGACAGATTTCTATGAAGAATCTTAATTCCATAAAATAACTTCAGCGAATATGCTAGTTTTATCAAGACCTTTTTTTTTTTTTTTTTGGTAATGTTAGGGGAAAGAGGGCAGGTCTCTGGAGTAAAGTGGAGGAACTCCTGTTTGTTGGGGCTGTGGGCTAGTGACTTGAAATTAGGCGTTACTTGTTCTAAGTGTTTTAATCTTTAATTTTTGCTTTTCTATCTTTCTCCCAGTAAAACTACAAAAAGTTTTATTTTACTGTGGTATGGAAGACACTTAAAAAGGAGCAAACATGAGCTTCCCTGCTTGACTGTATTGATCAAAAGATCTTTTGTCGAGGGAATTGGTGGCTTCCGCAGCCAGGTATGGATTCTTCCTGTAGTGGGCTTTGTGTTGCAGTCCTGTGAGACCACATGTGAACTCTTAATGTTGGAATAAAGTCGATGACTGTAGTTTATGGAAATCGAGCTGTGATTTCCACAGCTGAGCTAAGGCTGCAGCGTGAGATGTGTGAAATAAAATCATTAATGCTTTCCTGTGTGCTGTGGAGATTGTACCCACTTTGAGGTATCTTCTCTGATCTTGCCTGGAGGTAGGAGTTGTTCAGCTGTGTGCCTTGTGCCTGCAAAGCAGTGGTGGAGTGTGCTGCTGGGTGTTTCCTTGCCTGAGTGCTAGGGAAATGCCCCAGGTGGGAGGCTGTCGCTGGAGCCTATTGTGCCTGTTGACAATTGCACAAGGGACTGAGGGGAATGTTTCCACCTGGACCAGTCTTAGGAAGATCAGAGGTTGTAGTGGGTCTTAGCTCGCTATACTGCTTGCCAAAAATGAAGGCATCTTGAGGATTTTATTGCAAGAAGTATGCCACGTTCTCCATCTTGAGTGACCTGCAGTCTCATGCCTATGGTCCTTTCGCATCAGGAAGGCAACATCTCTCTGTGTCAGAAAGTGCCATTTGGCCTCTGCCTCCTCCTGCGAGAGTGACAATGGCAGCAATGGCTTTTGTTTGGTCTCCAGGGAGGGTGTGCCATGAACAAGGGATTGTCCTTAACCCAGGACTGAAGAAATGGGCTGTTTCTTCTCCACCAGCCAGGATCTGTGTGAAACACTAGCAAAGTGTCAGGAGGTTCTGATGGGCAAGGAGCAATATGGTATCCTGTCTTTTAAATATCTTGTTCACTGTCATACTGACTACAACAGCTGGTGGTTGTTTTACCATTCAGGAATAACTTCTCTATTTGCTAGAATTTCTATATTTTCTTAAAACTGCTTTGCCCATCATTATATCCAGCTGGAGTCAGAAGATCAGTTATGACGTGGTCCTGTTGGGTGATTGTGGTGGACAGCAACTCTTCAGCCCTTGGTGTGACAACCCCTTAGCAAAATGTCTCCTAGAAGCTCAGCTCTGAGGAGCTTCCCTCAGGTGTGGTCATAGCAACCAGTACAAAGGGAGACAAAGCTGTTGGGCTAAAAGAGGGGGAGGAAGAAAGGGAGAAGGTTAGGGTCCTGAAAAGAGAATAAAGGTGAGGAGGGCAGTTAGAAGAAGAATAAGAGTAGGAAAAACAGACAAGGTTTTTAAAGGTGAAAATCAGGGAAGAAGTGAGAAGAAAACAGGCGTGGACATGAGAGAAGGAGCCGCAGAGTGCTGTGATACTTGATGTCTGATACTGAAGGAGTCTTGTGAGTTTGGTGGGTTCCTTGGCCTTGGCATGTGGACTGAGGATCTCCAGGTGGTAGGGTGTGAAAAATTGCACCGTTTAGTGTAGTTGCTCAACGGGAGAAAAAAAAGATACGTCTTTCAGTATAACCTTGTTCTTAATAAGTTAAGCTACAAAGGAACCTACCTTTTTGCTCCAAAAACTCTTCAAGGCCTGGCCAGTTGTGAAGTGAAAATGAGGCTGATAGGAAATTTGGAACAAGGATTTCATTCTGCTACAAATTCCTGGTGTAGACACAGGGGGTATAAAGTCACTCTACTGTATCCTGTCACAGTTACAAAACAGAAGGCAGGTGCTTTTTTATTGAATTCATTCGTCAGCAAAACTCACTTTAATTTAAACCTATAGCTCTCAGACATGCAAACTCTTGAGACCAAAGCAGCGTCCATAGTTTTGTCACAACAGGCCCCTGCATTGACAATGTATAAAACCTGTCCTTGGCTTTTTTTGTGCAGCCATCTTACAAAGTGGCTGTAGATGACAAAAGTGCTTCTTAAGATGTATTTTTATTGTGTTGTGTTGTAAGTGAAACAAGGATCTAACACATTGGTTCCTATCAGGAAAAATTGCTAAAACAAATTATATACCCTGGCTATTTTTGGAAATATTCTGTTACAGACTGGAATTTAAACTATGATGATATATTTGGAAATAAAAGCTCATTACGTCTCTTCTCACCACAGGAGTAGAGACCACATCCTGGTTGAATGTTATATGACTAATTTAATTTTTACAAGTGACTACTTAATTGCAATTTCCAAATACTTTTCCATGATGGTGTGCAGTGCAATAGCTGTTTCTTGGTTCAGTTTGTGGGTTATGTGCATTGTTTCTTAGTTATGCATCTGTTAATTCAGGATTAGAGGATGGGTAAGATGGATGGGATGCTT